GGGGAGCACCAGCGCCCCAACCGCTCCGGCGGCGGGGAGACCTCGCTGGACCTCACCCTCATCCTCATCATTGCGCTGGGCTCGGTGTCCTTTATCTTCCTGCTGGCCATGATCGTGCTGGCCGTGCGCTGCCAAAAAGAGAAGAAGCTCAACATCTACACGTGTCTGGCCAGCGATTGCTGCCTGTGCTGCTGCTGTGGCAGCGGGGGCTCGACCTGCTGTGGCCGCCAAGCCCGGGCGCGCAAGAAGAAACTCAGCAAGTCGGACATCATGCTGGTGCAGAGCTCCAACGTAACCAGCAACCCGGCCCAGGTGCCCGTGGAGGAGTCCGGGGGCTTTGGCTCCCATCACCACAACCAGAATTACTGCTACCAGGTCTGCCTGACCCCTGAGTCCGCCAAGACCGACCTGATGTTCCTTAAGCCCTGCAGCCCTTCTAGGAGTACGGACACTGAGCACAACCCCTGCGGGGCCATCGTCACTGGCTACACTGACCAGCAGCCCGACATCATCTCCAACGGAAGCATTTTGTCCAACGAGGTAAGGCTGAAGCGCAAGGACCACCATCTCTCATCTCCTCCATCTGAAAGCCTCCTCTAGCCTGGCCCCTGTTATTCCTGGTGCACTGTGTATTTATTTTTAGGATATTAGCTTATTTGTATCTCTGTGGGAGGGTGACGGGGGGAGGGGGTCACCCTCTTCCACCCCTTTGTGTGTAATCTAAACTACGTGTTGTCCCTTATTTTTTGCGCTCCACCCCCTCCACGTTTATTTTCATTTCCTACCCTCGGTGCATTGCCACCTTGGACTTGCTTTCTTCCCTCTGGCATCTTGGCTTTAAAATTCCAACCCCCTCTCAGTCCTTTCCCTTCTTAGAAATCTGGGAGTGAAGGGGCAAGTGGGCGGGGACAGGGGGAACTGGGGTGGAGGAACTTACTGGCACTGGCAAAGGTCTTTTCTCTTTGCGTCTGTCTCAGGCGTTAATAAAGTTCATTGTTTTGCCCTGTTTATCGATGATGCTTTCAGTCGCGTGTAAAAGTAAGCTGTAGATTGTCTAACTTTGCACAGTTGTCTAAACTCGAATGCATGTTGTAGTGAACGAGTTATCAGATTCCTGTCCTCTGAACTCGGGTTGCAGAAAAGCCTTCAGTTCTGTTCTGGACAGCATTTACAGAAGCTCTTGAAGCCGAAGGCCCACACAGTGTGAATTTGAATGAAGTTGCTTTGGCACAAGCCCCTGTAAGCATAAACTAAACGGAAGGCTTAAACAATTGTTGTCTTAAATATATCTCTTAGCTAATAATCACCTTCTTGCCACTGTTTTTTTTTTTTTTTTTTGATAAATCACTGCTGTTGGCTTTCTTCGTCAAAGGATTTGGCTTGTCAATTCTGATTTATTCTTGAAAGATGGAGAAGTGGCAAAGTTGGAGGGAAGGAAGGAAGGAGGGAGGGAGAGGGAGAACAGAGTTGATTTATATAAAAAAAAGTTTGGACCAGAAGAGGTGTATGGGTGGTGGAGGTGGGAGGAGGATGCAGAGGGCCTTTGGAGGGGGAAAGATTTTGGTGGGAGGGAAAGTTATGAAATCCTTTCTTGGCAGGTTATTTTATTTATTTGAGTCTTAGATATTATTAATTGACTTTCATGAATATTTGTACAGCTCATTTGTATCTTAAGCACATTTTGAAAATAAACAACAAAATAATTCCATAAAACATCCAAACTTTTGCTTATTGAGCGTGCTGTTTTTCTTGTGTCAACCAGTATACACCTAAACACTTTTTTAGGCCATTGAAAGAAAGACTACAGAGTATAACTAGGTTGACTCTATTGGAGACAATCGTTTATGAGCCCCAGCTATGAGGTCATTTGCATTCTCTCCTTAAAAACACCCACACATTTAACATTGGCCTTTTAGACCTGCATTTTTTTAACCTTTACTGAAAATCTAGACTGAGGTGTCTTTTCATATCTCCTTACCCAGCAATTGGGCTGAGATCTTAGGACAACATAGAAATTCATAAAGATGTCCACAATTACTTAAGTTAGAATTAGTTTTCAACTTCAAAAGCAGATTATTAGTTAACCCTTAGCATTCAAAGGCTCTTGATTTATTTATTTTTTTTCTAGACTAAACATCAGAGAGCAGAGCTCAGCTATCTAGTTGACAGACCTCGCCGAGTTAACAGGTATGGACTCATTTTTTACTTCCTAGCTTGGTGTATGGACAATCTACTACCTATTGCAAGTAAGAACTAGGTATATTATTCAATAATATAATATAAAACATACAAAGTATTTCCAATTAAGGCAGGACATAAATACTAATTAAGTTGGGTTTCCTACTTAATACATTAAAATATGGGTATCTTATATACAAGTGTCTAAATAATTTTGAATATTTTGTCAGTTTTCACCCCTACACTGTTTCTGATAGTCTTCCTAACTGTTCCAGGTATATATACACACCTGCTGTATAAAATGATATAAACATATGCTTAGCCCCAATCGTAGAATTTCTATTGCCTAAGCTTTACATGCCTTAAAGGGCTCAAACTGACTGCTAATGCTAAATTTTAAAGAGTTAGGCTTCAGCTTATGAAAACAAGCTTTATGCAGAAATAAAGCCAACTCAGAGGTCTATGAATCTGCAGCGCCACCAGCGACCATGTGGTGGCAGAAGAATGTTTTGTGTGTAACTTCACCTTTTTTATTCTAATGTTCACATTTTTGTACTTCTAGTTCTGCATTCCAGGAAGCCGACATAGTAAGCTCTAAGGACAGTGGTCATGGAGACAGTGAGCAGGGAGATAGTGATCATGATGCCACCAACCGTGGCCAGTCAGCTGGTAAGTGTGATCAAAGAGCAATCTAAATGCTGGCTTTTATAGTTTAAAAAAAAATCTAGAAAAGATGATGTCCTAAGTAATTTTTTTTTTTTGGTAAATTTAATGTTGCTACCTCTACAGGAAAGGACTGCATCATCCTATGTTGATAACTGTATACTCAAAGAGGATTCTAAAAATGCAACGTTCCTTTGGAGAGTTAAAATTAGAAATTCATTGTGGAATATATTAGAATTTGAAATATTTCCTCCTTATGTAATGTGCTTTAATGAAATTATAATGCATGCAAAAAGCCATAGATCTCTCACCTGGGCCAGTCCCCAGTCTTCAGTCAATTAAGATATTATTAGACTTGTTTGTGGATGAGGTAAGTGAAGATGAATGAAATTGATTGACCTGTACAAGGTCACAAGAGGCTAAGTGGATAACTGGGACTCGAATCCACATTTCTTTCCATACAGTGCATTTTGCATGCCACCAAGTAGTGAATGTGAGAACAGATGGTGATTGAAAGTCATAAATAGGTTGAAAGCAGGATTTCCAACCCTGGGTTCTTAGGCTTCAGGACATTAGCAAACATTTGATAGTGTGTATTTCCTGACGTGTGTTAGGTTTCCTTGTATTTTCAACAGGGTCCATGACCTGTCAGAAAGGTGGATGCCATGTATATTTATATGTGGGCTTAATGGTAGTCACTGATGGGGTTGCAATGGAATACATATATTTTATTTTATTTTACTTTATATATTTTGCTTTAGTTTTTCCATATGAATTTATTCTTGACATTTTATAGGACCCTGATAACTCTAATTACTAATTCATAAAGGAAATACTTAAGAGAAATAACATGTGTACCTTAACATAATGAAAATAGTCTCATAAAGTTTGGATTTTCTTTCCCTTTCATTTGCACTTCATCTAAAAGGGTGCTTGTTAATTTTGTTTTCTTTTTATTTTCTGACCAAGTTTTCTGTTTATCTGACACATAAGAAAATGGAAAGGCAAGTCAACTTTTGTAACTTCTAAAAACGTCCACCATTGGACCGTCTCTGGGTTCAACTTCTTTGGCTTGCGATTTGAGCTTTATTTTGATTAATGATGTAAGCATAGAGTGATAGGGTCCTTGTCTTCAAGGCAGCGTTGGTCCTCGAGAGCACCCATTCCTCAACACACTTGGTGGACCTCTGAATGGGGCTGAGGCAGTGTGTCAAAGGGCAGTACACGCCCCGTGGTCGCCTGGCAGCAGTGGCCGCTGCAAGCCTAAGACTGGGCTAATGTGTGCTGTGTCTGAGGCTGCCTTAGGCTTGGGAAACACAGGCAGGAGGAGGGGGGGAAAGGCTGCTCAAGGGTCTCTTTATTTTGCTGCAAGTCATTAATATGCAGACCTAATGAGACTTGGGAACTGCCAAGAATCCCCGGAGGTCCCTGCCCCTTGCAGGCCTTCACGCTAAGTGAACAGAGCATCTATTTAGTGTCTGGGAACCTGACAACAAACCAGATCTTGCCAGAAGTTTATACTGGAGTACAAAGTCCCTTTCATTTTTGGCCTATATATGGCATATGATTTATTGTTATCTTTAAGAAGCTGTACATTTAGAATCATGCATTCCTATTCTTTTCTCAGAGTGTCTAACTCAACAGTCAGCCTTTTAAAACTTTTACAACAAAATCTTTAATATAAAAAACTGAGTATCTGCTGAATGCTCCCTGGGATGCATTTTATTCCTTTCCAACTCTACCACTTTGCTTGGTGTGTGTGTGTGTGTGTGTGTGTGTGTGTGTGTGTGTGTGTGTGTGTGCGCTTTTTTTTCCTGTGGCACTCCAACCTCAATAAACATTTCAATTAGTTTAGTCCCTCAGACATAATGAGCTATAATCACCTAACCAAAGAAAGAGAAATGAATAAACATCTGCAAAAAGCACTATATTTGGAAGGTGGATGGGAATATATTCCTGCCCATGCACCTTCCAGTAGTTATTTTATTTCATAGGCACTCAGTGTTGCCATTTTGGGGATGTTTCTCTCCATTGTTTGAGATGTCAAAGCATTAAAAGGAAAAGGAAAATACTAAACTATGTTCTGAAAAACATTTTTTAAAAGTAAGACAGTTTTTATTTTTCTTTATCAAAATGGCCAGTTCTCCCCTATCCTTATGTTTTTAAACATCTAAAAGTAGTACAGAATCTACAATCTGTGTATTTCATTAACAGTTTATAGGGCAGCCACTACATACTGGGCACAAAAATAGTTGTTTCAAAATTGGAACTGTACACTTTTATTAAGAAGTAATCGCACCTTTGTGTGCTGAATTGCAGTCAGTTTTAATATGTCTAATTTCATTGTAAGAATGATTTTGAATGTTTTCTTTTTAAGTATACAATCCTAAATGCAGAGAATTAAAATGCATTTACTTAATGCTTTTTTCCAGTCAAACTGATGTTGTGTATTATAAACCCACGTGAAAAAGCTAAAATATTTTCTAAAAGTTAAACCCATTTCAGTATATCCATTTCATTTCATTGAAAAGCCAGGTATTAACGATCTTCCAATGTTGCAATATTTAGGAAATATTCAAAGCACATGCATTTTCAGGTTTAGGCTATGAAAACATTTCATACTAATAAGCAAATCTCTCTCAGCTGGATTTTAAGGGGAAGAGGTTAGATTATCAAGGGAAAATAACTCTGGAAAGATATAGAAATCTGAATTTTCTCCTTTAGCTTGCACTGCATTCCATACTGCATTTCATACACTATTTGGCTTAGTGCTTCACCTGTTTAAACTTCCTAACTTCTTCTTTATTCCCACATTCTTTTTCTATGTTAACATTATTTATAGGCACTTATTTAGATATGCCTTCTATTTATTCTTCTATGAATAGTTTTCCTTTTTTGTTCTCCCCTCCCCCCACTTGTCCTCTTTCTAAGCCATTTGAAGTCACCAATTTTGTTCATAGAAGGGCTTTAAATACGGAGGCAGCTGCACAGAGAATCACATAAGCTTTTTCAGTTTCCCACTGCACCTGGATCCTGTGTAAAATTCGTCAGATTGACCACTGCTCTGTGGAACTTTTTTTCCTATAGCCTTGTCAAGGTGCTTTCCATGTCTTTTTCGGTGCGCTATTGATGTATTGGTCAGATATGGCAAAAGTCCAAGGAGATGTGGTAAATGCATGCATAAATCATCACAAGAAGCAAAACTGATTAATCACAGCTGAAATAGCCAAAGAAAGTCAAGGTGGATTTTAAAAGATATATATTTTCAATTTTGTTTATTTTATCATTAGATTAAAAGATAGGCTTTTTTTTCTCATTTAGAATACTGGTACAACATTTTTTGTTGTATATCCTTAGACATGGAGATCTATTAAGTTGTAAGAAGTTGCTTTTTAATTTAAAATACAATGTGCATAATACTAGAATTAAGTATGAATTTATTTTTCATAATTGTGGCTTCTGAAAAAATATATTGAAAAGGAGAACCCTAGTAAGTGATTCTGTTAATGTTACCTCAAAATGTCAAATTGCTCTTAATTTTTTCAGTTACGAGGGAACTTAGCATCTAAATGTACTTATTTCTTAACTAATTATTATGAGATTGATACATCATACATGGTCAAATTTTGGCTATACATTTTTAAAAAATGATTTGAATTATCAATATAAACTAGTAGATAAATTATATCATGAACTGTATTAATATCGATAAGAGAATTCTTGAATTACTATAAATGTAAATTTCCCTTTCCAAAAACTCCAAGAATTTAGAGACTGGCAAAGTTTTTGGCTTTATAAATAAATTGAATTACACCATTGTTTGCAAAAACTCACTAAGGTTTGTGGTGAACTTCTGAGCTACAAAGATTTGTAATTAGAAAAATACAATGCAAAATATTGAGAGAAAGTGGAAAAAATATAAACATTTTGAAAAAATAGGTAGAGAAAAATTATGATAGACATGTTTTGAATTTTATGTTTGAATTCTGTTGATAAATATCTGCCTCCAAACCACATTATCCTAAAAATTATAGCAATTTTTATGGTTATAATTAATATCTCTCAGTTTCCAGTGTTATGTGGTCAAAGCAATACTAGAAATTTCCTCAAAACATTTAAGTGTTGATTTTCTTTAAAATTAACTTATCATGTTTGAAAATAATAAACATCTTTTATGAAGGTTTGGTGCATGAGAAATGTACACATAGTTTTATATTATTACATTCATCAGGAAACAGTACAAGTTAAATACAAATATAACATCTTTGAAATTATAATTTGTTCTCAGTGGTACTATCACTGTCTCCAACTATAAAGGACAAATTATTTGCCAGTTATAAAAGACATATTTAAAAATTTTTCTAAATATATCTGTGCATAACAGGCAGTCTATCACATCAGCTGTTATGCCTTGTAGAACAGATTATTCCTGAGAAGTGAAGAAAATAAATAAGTAGGAGAAGATTTGCAAGTAAAAAAAAA